CGCGATTGGTCATTTGTCATACTCGGGTGTATGATGTTTAGGCTTAGGCATATAAGGAGCACAATCACCTTAAACATCGCTTGTAATGGGTGAGAGCTTACGCTAGCGGGCAAAATGATGCAAGATTCATCTGGCACTGCAGGTGCTGAAATACCATGTAGCCAAGCCCTGCCTAACTCATTCCCTAACCAACTGTGAGCAAAGGGCGGTGTGATACGCCTTGAAATCTAGTTTTGAAGCAGTCATTCGTTATTTGATATACTCGGATGTTTATATTACCGTTTTAAATATGTATTAAATTTAAGGTAATTGCTTATAGGATAAAGATCCGCTAAACATAAGCAACAAATATGGTCAGAATTTCAAGGGCTCATACTGCACTTGTCATAGACCATATCCAGATCCGGAAAATGACATACCCGATGAAATGGTTCAGTGTGTAATTTGTGAGGACTGGTTCCACACAAGGGTGAGAAAGCTGAAACTGGTTTCGTTGGTCGCCCTACATGCATTTTAAAATACTATTTAGCATCTCGTTCCAAGCAATCTGAACGCCACTTCAGGTGAAGTCATATGCCAGAATTGCACGTCTTCTCTGCCGTTTATTTCTGCATATTGCAATGTCACAGAAGGCGCAGCTGACGGCGACGTAAACGGATACAACACTAATCAAATTCTTATGCATGAGAATCTCCTGTTTAGGAGGAAGTTGAAGTCGAAGCCGTAAGTGGCGATCTCGAAAATCAGGATCCAACGGTATTTCGTTATTGCTGTTTGTTTTTCATTTTAATTCGCATTGCCATCCATTTTGTGCTCTCCTTGAGTTTTAGTAATACACGAACTTTTTTATTTGTTTCACATAGGAATGTCTACTTTGCCACATTAATTAATTTGCACTGAAATAGATATATTTGTGTTCTTTTCATCTGTTGTTTAGTGATCTCCAGTGACAAACAGTATTGTAGAGCATTGCGTATTGTAGTTTGGTACGCAGTCGTAATCGAGGAAGCAGTCGTCCTTACGTTTCAAAGCTCCGGGGTTTTGCTTCTAATCGAATTCAATATGTACTGCTCGTGATCTCCTGTTGTAGGAATTTATTTTAACTTATTTATCAAAGCCAGTCGAGAAGGTAGTATTAAGTTGTTGACTGTTGTCGAATTATTTAAGCCTTGGTTTGGTCTGCCGATGCTGTTCGACGGATAACGGTTTTTCGCTAACCGTTTCTGTTCCCTACTTTTAGTTCTTTCCTTACTACTCGTCTTTGGCTTGTTGCTGATTGTTTCTTCTATTAGCCATCTGCAACTTTCATTCTGACTTTTCCTTTTCTCCTCTTTCTCTTTTGTTAATTTTATTTTAGTTTAAGCTTTCACCTGTCTGGCTTCATGGCTGATAGATGCGGTAGTATTAATTGTCGCATCATTAGCTAATAAGCAATACTGTTCTATACATCCAACAACTAAGATATAAATCTATTCTACTGACAAGAAACTACTAAGAATTGCTCAAAATCGGTCAATACAGCTAGTGTCAAGATCCCAAAAAACATTGCAGAGCTATCTGATGTATATTAAAACCATCGAGCCAAAATCCAAACATCAAAACAGGATCAACACCCTACCTGATGGGTGGAAACTCAGTTATTATACATCGGAGGAACCATGGCAGCCATAATCAAGAGGAAGAACATCTCAGTAGTCTAAAAGATGGTACAGCGCATGTCTGCGTCAGAATGGGAAAGGAAAGGGACGAAGACGAACGAAAGGCGAAGAGGGACGAAGAGGCAATGCGAAAAGAAATTGGCGGCTGTGGACCATATAGTACAGAACGACGCTGTCTCATATTATTGGACAAAATAAGTGGAATCCACTGAGAGAAATTTTCTAAACCGGTAGATGAATGAAACAGTGGCTATTTAGTCGAGCCAGTGCGCGAATAAACACGCTGAAAGCATGTTTATTCAGCTAACAGGCTCACATTTAAATGAAACTATGAGGCAGTTTACATTCTTGGTTCTAAAACCTCTGTAATGGAGTTGCTGGGTGACTGTACGCATATGTACTGTAATATTCTTGTTTTGTATTATTTTTCGCCATAAAGACTGAATGACCATGATCTGAAACGTGGGGGACTATATGCGTAGTAATTGCAATATGTAGTGTCACCCCGCAATCTATAATGCGAATTTTTTGCCCTCTCGGAATTAGCCTAGCCTTTTTATTTTCTTGCTCGTATTTAATTTCGAGAATTTACACTGTTTCTGGAAGGCAACGATTTAGATTGTGTTTCGACTCTGCATGCACACATTCATAGATATACATATACACATGTGTATGTACATGTGTTTGTATATGCGTAGGAATCTATGTTTGTGTATTTATATATGTATGACAATGAAACTTTATTGTTTTCTGATTGTAATAACAATTTTACTTATCTTTATGCGAAAATGAGACAGTCTTGAATTGGCAAGGTTGACAGTACAGAAAATTCAGTCTTCACGCTGTATAATCCTTGAACGCGATTATTCCTGGTTATACTTATTTGTCTCGTCATTGGTAAATTTCTTAAACCAATAGATGATCGCTCCGAACGACGAACCACTGTAGCGAGTAAACTGTAAATCATTCACTACTGATTCTGTTCTATTGCACGTTTTTTGTCGTCATTACCACCTGCACCGATAGACTGCATGATTAAGTTTATTATTTTCGATTTTATAGAGTAAATCTTGTAAAATTTCTGACAACGCGAATCCGCCCTTGCGCGACCAGGCAGTGGTGCTTCCTTTCGGATGGCGAGACGAGTTATGCCTATGTTCTGAGTGCATGGTAAGATTCTCAGGCAAACTAATGACAGTAAATCACCATGTTTAGAAAATGTATGAAAATTTGGACTGCACTTTTTTGCTGGACGAAATCGATTGTTTGGAAAATTATTTGAAAGAGAACGAAGAAACGGCCAGTACTTCTAACGATCTCTTGGAAAAGTGCATGGGTCAGCTGAATAGAGTTGGACAAATTGAATTTCTTCACGGTAATCGTAATTGTTTAACGGATAGTCAGGTTTTGTCCTTTTCAAGTTTTTTTCATACTTGCTTTTTTGATATTCTTGCCGATTTTTAAAGAACGCTAGAATCATTAGCTAAACTTATTGTTTTAGGATTTTGTTAAAATGCATGTTCCTGGTACTAATGTTTTTTTCAGTATTATACTTAGTAGGGTAGAAAAACGGCAGCTTATTTTATCTTTACTTTGTCCCCTGTTCATCCGCTCATCCATACATTTAGCCTTTACTTACTGTACAGTATGTATTGCGAGCGTGGTGGAGATACTCCTAATCTGTGACAGGTTCCGTTTAGTGTCTCCTTGTGCGCTCTCTCACGATCCCTTCAGAATATACCCACGCTGTGCCCATCGTTTCCCGGTCATTTACTAGCTAGCCATTGCTCGGCTGGTAGCATTGAGCCACAGTTGTATGAATTCTTTGCTCATGTAAATTTTCACTATTAGGGCAGTTATCCGTTATACAGGATACGAACCTGCATCTTTTAAGTTCGAAGTCGAATGAGTTTACTGTGAACCGTTTTTTTCCACCGGAGTCAGTTTGTTTAAAATTTATGCAGGATTTATTACACGAACGTTGCAAGGTACTTCGAGTCGAATATGAAAAGTAAATTGACCAGGTTAACGTAGTTGATGGCTCCTACCATTGAAATAGTTCAGTGTTCAAGCGTAGGAAGAAGCTAAGTTCAGTTTACTTTACCACACTGTTTTTTGGACAAATTGCGCTTATGGTTTTAAAAGTACAAACGAGCGACAAATGCATACTATACGCTGTGAAGCAGGGCATGAAATTTATAATGGCAATGATATTATCTGGTATTTTCAAGTTTACTCCGTTAAAGGAAACCTGCACTCTTTTCGTCCATTACACATTTGTAGATCAGAGAAAGAAGCTAATGGAGAAAAGTTTCTAGTCCGCCCGGAAAGGAGTGAAAGCGCGTTTCTAGACTTGATTATGGCTTATTTCTGATAAGCCGTTTTTGCTGAAAATGAGTCGAATATTAAAGGTTTTGCACTTAGGTTGTTTCTTCGATAACGTTCATGGCGACCTGACTTATTGGGTGTTTGAAGTCACGGTCGAATATAAAAGTAAAAATCTTGAGGTAGTCTCTAACTTTGACGTAATACTTTCCAAAGTACACTGGAACTTATATGGCGGATTGCATGCAGCATAAGTAACTAGATTTTGATCATTTTCAATTGCCGTCTTAGCCTGCATTGGAAGGACAGATCTCTGCCTGCTTTTAATGACAAGTTGACGCTTTGAGAGTTACAGGTAAACTTCGATAGCTATACCAAGGTATGATTTTCGTTGCCTGCTTAAAGTTTGAAATTTGAAAATAATAGTCCCGATAACTTCGAAACGGAATGAGAGCAGAATATTTACGTTTTGACTATTGAACACAACGCGATAGCTTCGATAGCTTTGAACATTTTAAAGATGACCTGTCTTCTATGCCCATTAACACACCTGGCAGACCAGGTTTCGGAGATCGAAGTCGTGTATTTGGTAAAAAAAAGGAAAGGCAACGCGTTCTGGACGGATAGTAAAGCGAACTAATGCAAAACAGAATCTTGGCACTACGTCAAGTGAGTACGTAGCACGCAATATTTATATCGTCATATGCTAATGTACTTGAAAGAAGTTTGACTATGAGAGCATTTTACCGGTTGATGTCAGTAAATTAATGACTTAGCCTAGGGTATAATTTATGCAGAGCTCCAGACTAGTTAAAAAGGAATTTATTTTTCAATATCGCAGTAGATCAGGGTCATAGTGTCAGTTTTTAAAAAAAAGTAAATTGATAAGGACTGATTCTGGGTTCCACATGTTGCATGATCTGGAAAAACAGTACGTTTCAGATATTTGAAAGGCGGTAGCGGACCTCTGGTTATTCAGTTTTAGAGTTAGTCTTTTAGATATATGCATTACGCCTACCGTTTGCCAAGAATGGGAGAACAGTCCTCGTTTATGCAGCAATTATATGCTCCTGATAATGCTGTGCATAACCTTGACACGCTAAGTTTTAGCGGTGCAGGTGCAAAATCGTGCAAGTCGGGAGCGGGTGATACTCTTATTGCAGTTTTCTGATTTTTTACCACAGAAAATGAGATTTCTGCATCCGCAGGATATTAAATGAACCTGCCTCATTAATTGCACGTCAGCCTCGTTTTTTCATAGCACAAAAGGACTTTTTAAAATTATTAGGTTCAATACTCCAAGACCGTCAGATCATTCGGTTTCTCATCGGATTTATTAAAATCGACTCATTCGCCTGCTGTCCTGTCACAACACGCATGAATATTTCCTATTCAACAGGAGATTGTTTTATATAAATCCTTCACTACCCAATGGCGACTACCCATTTGCGCTTTTTTCTTTTGTTGCAGTAACCTCGTCCATTCATCTGAATGTGAGATATTTCAGTCTACACCTGTTCATTGCTGCCATTTGAATGAGATAACGTCTAATCGGTGCACACTAGAAAATGTTGAAAATTCATAATGTATTTAGTTTCTCGTGCATGTGAAACGTTGAAAGATGAGTTTAACATATGTGCAAGAAATCAGAGAGCATTGGATTGATTTGATAAAACCAAGGGGGTCGATGAACGGACCACGAAATAACTACAGTCAGAAATGAGTGAAACTGTGCAACGCACTTTAACATTCGGCCGCGTTGATAAATCTACCAGATTGAATATATCGAGAGTCGACGCATCGTTTCTGTTCAAATCGCTCGTCGATATGAGGTTAAGGTTACTATTCAACGGTTAACACTATTCATGGCTAATTGTTTCGTAAACTGGATAACGACATCTTTGCTGCGGTCTGGGAAAACCTAAACATTACCAATGAAAACGTTGTAGAAAATGAGCAGATGTTGTGGTTTACATTGTACAGCCATGTGATATTCATAAGACAATTGCACCTCTGTATGACTGGTTTACTTTCGGTCTGTTAAACCGAAGGCAGATGAAGTTTTCCTACGAAAATGATCTGATTTATCCATGTTGATGGACAAGGACAACTTACGTTTTTGTCTTCCAGTAGGATTTCTGCGCAGCACAACACCGTATTTAATAAGTAACGATATATTCAAGAATATATCGATAGGCGGATTGGAGTATCTAGTGGCCTCCTACTTGAACTGGCCCGAACTATTGTAACTAAAGCAGAGCTGAGTATGATGTTTATGTTCTGTCTTCAAGTCAATCTTTATCCCCACGTTTGCCTACGGTCCTGAGTCGT